AGATAGATAGATAGATAGACGGACGGATAGATATGGAGAGATAGATAGATAGATAGATAGATAGATAGATAGATAGATAGATAGATAGATAGACGGACGGACGGATAGATATGGATAGATAGATAGATAGATAGATGATAGATGGATAGATAGATAGATAGATAGATAGATAGATGATAGATAGATGATAGATAGATAGGGATAGATAGATAGATAGATAGATAGATAGATAGATAGACAGATAGATAGATAGACGGACGGATAGATATGGAGAGATAGATAGATAGATAGATAAATAGATAGATAGATAGATAGACGGACGGATAGATATGGAGAGATAGATAGATAGATAGATAGATAGATAGATAGATAGACGGACGGACGGACGGACGGACGGACGGACGGACAGACAGACAGACAGACAGACAGACAGACAGACAGACAGATAGATGATAGATGGATGGATGGATGGACGGACGGACGGACGGACGGACAGATGATAGATAGATAGATAGATAGATAGGCAGGTGGATAGATATGGATGGATGGATGGATGGATGGATAGATGGAGACAGACAGACATAGATGATATAGACAGACAGACAGACAAGATGGATGGAGCAGCTTCTCCACAATCCAGCTTTCAAATAAAGCTCCCTTATCAATAATATTCAGAAAACCTTGCCAATTATCCTCTCCAAACAGGACTGTTCCCTGTTATTCTCCATAGCCTCACCTTCATTCCGCTGTGGCTTTGTAATCTCGGCAACTTCCCCTCTTGACGTAACTACAGAACGAAAACAGAAGAGGAGAGGCAGAAAAAAATAATAATAATAAGTAGATTTTTCTCTAATTTTCCAGCTACGTACGGGAGCCTAAGTGCCCCGAGCCAACTTACTCGGTTTTCCTCTTCGAAAAAGTTCTTGTTTTCGGGAGAGGCGTAAACGGCCCGGTTGTGGAGCAGGAGGTGGTTGCGCCCAAAAGACCTGTGCACAAAGACCGTCTCCCCGCGGTTCCCCACGTCTGCAAAACGAGACACAGAGAAGAGTTTGGGGGTTTCAGGGGAGGGGTGTCTCGTCCTTGGCTTCTGCTAGTCCCCGGCTCACAACAGTCCATTTA